TACAAAGAGATTAATACTAAACATATCACAGTCTAATTGCTGAAAGAAGAAAACAAAACTTTTAAAAGACTAAGAGAAAATTCATTTACAGTTGAAGAAAATACAATTAAAGGCTGACAGAAACAATTGAGGCCATAAAGTAGTAGAATGAAGTTATAGTCAGTCCTAAAAGTAAAAGGAATACTTGTTACCAAGAATTCAATCCAGAAAATCTACCCATAGAAAGAAAGAAAGAAAGAAAGAAAGAAAGAAAGAAAGAGAAAGAAAGAAAGAAAAGAAAAGAAAGAAAAAAAGGAAGAAAGGAGGGAAAGAAGGGAGAAAGAAAGAAAGAAAGAAAGAAAGAAAGAAAGAAAGAAAGAGGAAGGAAGGAAGGAAGGAAGGAAGGAAGGAAGGAAGGAAGGAAGGAAGGAAGGAAGGTAGAGGTATTCACAAATAATTTGAAAAAATAGCAAGAGAATTCTTGTAGACTAGCACTACAAGAAATACTAAAGAATTCCATCAGGCTAAAAGGAAATGACACAGAGAGCAAATAAATTGAATCACATGGAGGTAGAAAGAACACCAGAAAGGGTAAATATGGGATAAATATCAAAGACTCTGTGTATATCTCTGATGTATATATTTATATTCTCTTTTCTTCTCTCAAATCATTATTAAAAATCTATTACTATTAAAAGAAAATTATGATTATATTAGTGCAATGTGGGGTTCACTATATATACAACATATATATATACACATACACACATAAACAACATATACACCCATACACAGGGTATGATAATTCAAAGATAAGGAAGGAAAAGAAGCTATATCAAGAGCTTATTTGTTATATATTACCAGCATCATATCAGGACACCAAAAGTAGACTGCAAATGTAGATGCATACTCTAATTCATAGAGCAACTAGTAATAAAATAACACAAAAATACATATACAAAGTCAACAAAGTATAATAAACCAATTTTCAACAAGACTAACGAGAACCAAGGGAAAAATCGTGTTTTCAATAAACAGTGCAGGAACCACTGGAAAGCCACATTTGACATGAATGATACTGGAGACTTAACTCATAACATCTAAAAATTAATTCAAAATGGATCAAAGACCTAAAGCTAAAAGCTAAAAGACTATAAGACTATTATAAACAAACATAGGGGTAATTTTCCTAACCTTGGATTTGGCAATGGTTTCCTAGAAATGACACCAAATGTATAAATAATAACAAAAAATGGATATACTAAACTGAGCCAAATTTTGAAATACCTGTGCTTCAAATGACACTATCAAGAGAGTAAAAAGAAAACCTAGAGAATGGGAAAAACATTTGTAAATTGTGTATCTAATAAAGGATATGTGCCTAGAGTATGTAAAGAACAATTGCAACTTAGTAATAAAGACAAATAACCCAATGAAAACTGGGCAAATAACTTGAATAGGCTTTCTCCAAAGAAGATATACAAAAGGCCAATAACTGAAAAGATGCTCCATATCACTAATCATTAGAGAAATGCATATCAGAACTACAATGAGATAGCATCTCAAGTACATTAGATGGCTGTGATAAATACAAAATAACAATGTTGGCAAGGATAGAGAAATTTGAGCTGTTGTGCACTGTCAGTGGGAATTTAAAATAGTAAAGCTGGTATGGAAAATAGTATGGCAGTTCCTCAAAAAAATTAAAAGTAGACTTACCATATGATCCAGAATTCTGCTTCTGGTTATATACCCAACAGAACAGAAAGCAGACATTGAAAGCAGAGTGTTGAAGAAATGGCTATACACCCATATTCACAGCAGCATTGCTCACATAAGCCAAAGCATGGAAGCAATCCATGTGCCCACTAACAGATGAATGGATAAGCAAAGTATGGTATATGTGTACAATGGAATATTCTTCAGACTTAAAAGGAAGGGAATTCTAAGATAAGCTACAAAATGGAGGACCCTTGAGGACATATGCTAACTGAAATAAGCCACATACAAAAAGGCAAATATTTTGTGATTTTACTTATAGGAGGTTCTTAGATAATTCAAAATTATATAGAAAGTAAAATTGTGGTTGCCAGTGGCTGGGATCAAATGGGAGATATTATTGTCTAATAGGCACACAGTTTCCCACAAGATGTAGAGAGTTATGGAGTTGGTTGCAGATGATTATAATGAGAACTGTGCATTTAAAGCTGGCTAATATGGTCAATTTTATGTTGTATATATTTTACAACGAAATATTTTTAAAGTGTCAGTTATAGAAGCCTCTATAAGTAAAGATAAAGAAAAAAGTATGAGGGATAAAAAGATGGATAAATAACCAAGGATAAACATAGAAGTGAATAGTGTCAAGAAGACTTAACACAAACAGGCTATGGACAGTTAAATATAAATATAGATATATAAATATATATGTGTATATAATTTAGTTAAGTTCATAGTTAGAAGTTTATGGCAAATGAAATTTCATCCACTAGTAAAGCATAGAAAAGGAAGAACTATTTAATACCTGTTTTGCTACTGTCTCTCCTACTAAGAGAATGACTATAATTCTGAAAGTATGAAACAAATATTGATAGGAAAGAAGTGAAACACAAAATAAGGAAGCAGATTATAAGAGAGGGTCTAACAAACTACCGTCTCTGAATTCAATTCTTCTTCACTCTGGGAATTATATGCTCAGATTCCCAACTCAACTTTCCATCAAAGAAAAAAAAAAAAAAAGGAAACAAATCACAGATGATACTGCTAAACTATTGCCAGTGGCCTCTATGGAAGTGGAAAAGGTAATAGTCATAATCCCATAGTTCCCAAACTGCGTAGAAGGACACCATGAAACATATGAATGTTCCAGAAAAATACATGCTTGACATCTGTTGGACACAGAGCAAAATACTAGCCCGAGGTAGTTCACAGTTTCAACAATAGATAGCACTACATTCCTTTCAATAGCATCATATCTTTGTGAAGCCTCTGGTTCTGGCTGTTGCTAGAATAAAAAGCAAGTACCATGTAAAAATGAAGGTGGAACAGGATGGAAAGCAGGCTCCCTTCTGACCCATGCCACAAACCGTATGTCCTGTGCCCCGTGCTCACTCCCTTGCATGGCCAATGTGTCCTTCATTTCTGCTGACTATGTTTTGAATCCTTTAAAGGCAGGAATCCTAATTTTTTTTTCTTGAATGAACAGCCTCTGTTGATACTGAACTTCTAACTTTGCCCAGTGTTTTGTAAATTTTGTGAAACACAAAACTAAAACAGCAGTAGCAACTATCACAAGTAGGTGGAGAACTTGTGATAAGGATCACAGTTTAGAGAGAAAATTTAGTGTATATATATAATTGTGTGTGTGTGTATATTCTTCTATATATACATGCACATATATAGAGAAAAATAATTAGGAATATAAAAGTTTTTTTAACTACTGAAATTGGAAGCATTTGGAAAGGTAAGAAGGTTTAGCCCAGAGAAAGAAAGATAGAACACAAAAGTAAATGCCTACCACTGCTAAGAAAGGTATTCAGTGAACCAAACCGCCCAGCTCTGCCTGAGGTATAGTTCCTAGACTGTAAGGTGTAAGAATAAGTAGAAAAAAGCAGAGCAGCTGCCAATATTTTCACAAAAAATTAGAGGCAGAACCAATCAAAAACTGCTAAGATTCAGTATGTTGCATGTAAGTGTGTCACAAAATGCTGATCTACAACTGACATCCAAAGCAATATGCAGGAATTCTTGATGCACATAAATCAATCAATTCTATAACTAATCAAAGAATAACAAATATGCTCAGTGAAACCCATATTTGTTTAGACTGTGTTTACACAAAGACAATTATGACAGTCCTTTCCCAAAAGAAACATAAATAGCTACAATGTTATTTATACTAACATTGAGAGAGACCCAATGAAACACAGGATACTGAAGATAAAGTACATAGGTACAAAATCTGAATACATCTTGTTAATCATTAGCTACACCCTGTCTTCCATTGTCTGAAAGTCTAGTATAGCTGCTGTGGAGCCCAATATTATATCAGGTATTTCTCTGTACTAACATGCTTGTTTATGACGATTTGTCCTGGCTTATGGCATTTCCTAGCATTGTGACTCATGATAGTCCCAGGACACCCCAAGGAGAACATGCATTGTACAATATGTTGTAGAGGGTTCCTGACCACATGTTCTCAGCAGGCATTTCTTAGAAATTCTGGAAAATGTAAAGATATATGATCTTGAAGTAAATATAAATAAATCATCAATATGATCTGAAACTGTAGGCCTGTCCTGTAGGTGACTTGAGAAGTCAAGTCAAGACACTGGAGAATGGTACTGAAATGTCAAAAGATACCAAGGTATAATCTTTGACTTCCAGGAGTTAAAAATAGAAATTTGGGAGAGGTTAAAACAACAAATACAACTTACTGTAGAAGAAATATGAAATATTGCTACAATAAACAAATACTGATGGGAAAAAAGTGAGTCGTGAAATAAGGAAACATTATAAGCAAGTGTCTAAACAACTAATAATAGCATGGTACCCATAAAATTTGGGGAACAGAAGGACATAACTCATAATAAATAAGAATAAGTCTTCCATTTGATATAGAAAATTGGCTGGAAATATCCTTCGTTGGTGGGGTAACCGATACTCTTATTTAGCCAGTAGTATTGAACTTTTGCACTGAAAGTCCTATCACTGGAAAGTCCAATGTCTAGTGGAAACCAGGACTCTGGTCACCACTAGAGTGATTCCATTCCAACAAAATGTAAATTTTCCACTACTTACATATTCATCATTTTCAAATAATCTCATCAAGGGAAAAGAACACAAGTTTCATTTTGTGTAATTTGTTTCGTTTCTTTTTTTTTTTTTTTTTCATTTCTCACCTAAATCCTCCACATTTTTCCTAAGCCTTTGTGATGGGTTCTCAGCAGAGAAAGAAAATAACGAGACACTGTTCCCTGCGTGATCTTTCACCCACCAGCACAGGGCCAGAGTTCACTTACTTTTGCTGCAGCCCAGTGGATTGTTCACATCCAAATGGCTTGCCCTGGGAACACAAGTATCACACTTGGAGCCAGTGACAAATCGTTTACAGAAACACTGGCCCGTGACCAAGTGACAGGTTTCATTCAAGGCTCCTGAGAGATGACAATTGCAAGGCTGACATCTGAAAACAAGACAAATAAACCATCAAAGAGAATAATGTTTTGATTAATAATCATAGTATAAGTTACATCTATCAATAACATTGTGAAATAAGATGGTCTGTTTTAGCCAATATATTGAAAAGAATACTTGAGCTAAATAAACACAAAATCAAACAAGACGAAAAAGAATCTTTAACAAAATTTTGCTCATGATTAAATCTCTAGGAAGCCTCCTCTTTGTAAACTAATTAATGGCAAAAAAAAGTGTTATATTGCTTTTTTCATGCTACAATACATCTTATGGATTATTTTGAATGCCAGTTGTTCAATTAAGAAAACTGTAAACTTTGCCTTCTCACAAGAGTAGTTCTTCTGACAGCTAAAAGTTTAGATTAGGTACCCATAAATCATCTTTCCAAGTATCTATCAAGTTATGAAATAGAACACTGGTATGATAACCATTGATCTCCCTAAAAATCTTGAAATTCTATATTTAGTCTTATAAAGATTAAATTTCACTAAGAAAAGAGTTTGAGGAAGACATGCTCCAATACTGTTGATGCCTTAATATAGGTTATATTTCATTTTCCATTTTAGGCACCAAACTCATTTATCCAAAATGGTTGCTGTGAAGAGCCTTCTTCTGATCTATGAAAAGATGTTAATTGTATAAATATCATGAGATGACTTCATTCCAACTTAAATTTCTTGGACTTAAAGTTGTTTGTAGAAATCACTGTCCTGGCATTTTGCCATTATAGAAACCAAAACCTGTCTGTTCTGAGTAAATTATTCAGATTCGTAGCCAATGCCAATGTCATTGATTAGGATAAACAATTTTGGCACCCGGAAATGTGGGAGAAGCAAAAACAGCAAACAGCACTGACAAAACAAGTCACTTGTAAACAGGAACTTTCCATGTGGTCCATTTAAAATAACCTAAGTGGATTCACCTCTATTTTCTAATAAAGATGATGGAGAGATAGTTTCTTTATCCTCCCTGCACCCTCTCTAGTGTGATCTCTTGGGTAATCATTCAACACCCTTAAAAAGGCTGATAAAAGCTAAAGACTGCTAAATACGCTGCAAATTTGTTTTATGGACGAATATCATCTTGGGAATAAATAAAGTAGTTTCTCTTGAAAACCCCTACACTGTAGTTTGCCCTTTTTATGTCATGACAAAAGGACATTTTCCCCCTACAAACAACTTAAGGACTTAATGTAAGTCCTTTATGTAAAGACATCGCTTCAAAACTCCATTTCAAATGGTTGCTGTATTTAGACTACTTATCAGAGTTGAAGAAAATTATGCATGGAAATTAAAATGGAATTATAGAAGCAACAAAATATTTGATTTGCTCTTAATTTCATTATATGCTATTACTTAGAGCATATTGTTTGTAGGCTTTTAATGTAATATTGGTAAGCATAAACAATAAAGGCAAGCTTCTCCCAATGCATATATATATCACTACACCACTCATGAATAAGTGTCTCTTGAGTATTTCAGTTTTTATTACCATTCACTCATGAGACAATCACACTTACTTTACATACAGTACATTTAGAGTAATAGTTTCCAGTGTATAACATAATTCCTTTCCTTGATGTCGTTCTATTTTCTCCCAGCTAGCTGCTACACGTTTAACTCCAAGTCAGCTCTGTCAATATCCATGGGATATTAAGTTCTGAATCCAAATGGAATAAATAAATCGCCTCTTAGGAAAGCATGCAATGTTTTGAGTAATTAAATGTGACTATTCCTGATTTTATAGTCTCTTATCCCAGCTGGTGTTATATCTAACTTATCTGACTTGTTATAATTCCTTGACTTCAGTAAGAGAGGATTTTACCTGAATGAAATTCATAGGAGACTTTCCTGAATATTATAGTTTGTTTCTAACCCAAAGAACACCAGGGATGATTTTGTAATTAAGGTTAAGTAAAATGATTCCTATAAATTTCTCAGCCACTCAAATATAATTTTAAACATTTCCAAGACTCTTTAGCAAATAAGCTACAAGTTTGATGTCATTTTCTAAGTTATCTCAAGAGCACCTCCTAAATGAAATATATTTCACGTTTATTAAAACAAAATTATACATAATAAAGGGAGAAGACATTTTAAGCTTAGAAAGAGAAACACTAAACTAAGATGAATTGTGATATTGATTTTGTCAGGATAAATGGTTTTTGTAATATTAATATAAAGAAGCCTTCATTACACTGACTCTCCTGGTACAGCCCGAGCTTCTCCCACAATCTGTTTAAAATCTTCATTTTTCATCCTTATGGGAAAACCTCACTTGCTAAATGGATTTCATAAAGAGTAATCTGTCAAGATTTATATAGATAAACAATTTGTGATGTTTATTGACCAGTTCATTATGGTAAACAAAACACAAGTAAAGCACCGCTAATCTCTGCCAGCACTATGCTATTATAGTTCTGTTCGGGCCCTTATGTAACTCAATGTTTACTGAGTACAATGGGAAATGAGTTAATTGGCCTCTGTTCCCTAAATCACAAATCTCATATATTTTCCTCTCCACAGAACTTAGTCCAGTTGTGCAAATAGTAAGAGAAAGAGCTATCCTACTTATTATTATTGCAAAACATCACTATTAATAAAGGAGTGTATTTCATTGATGTATTTCATTGTCAGGAGCTTCATCATCTGAGAGAGCACTATACTAGGAGGTCCGGGGATGTCTTCCAAGATATAGATCACTTCATTGACATTTCTTTTTGAACACCTCTCTTCTATCTGGGGATTCAACTCGTGGGCACCATCAAATGTATTTATATATATTGATTGATATAAATAATATTCATTGAGGTCCAATTATGTTCCAGGACTGGAAGAGGCACTGAGAACATAAAGAGGAAAAAGATGGAGTTGTCCTTGTCTTCAAAGAGCTCACAGTCTAGCACGAAATATAAAATACAGCATTACTAAACATACATGCAGACTCTGTGGGCACAGAAAAGGACAAAACTGGTTGGTGTGGCAGGAGGGGATGGGACAGTGGAAGGAGTATTTAAAAAAATCTTGGGGGCACCTGGGTGGCTTAGTCATTTAAGCATCTGACTCTTGGTTTCAATTCAGGTCATGGTCTTGGAATTCGTGGGTTGAAGCTCCACATCAGGCTCCACAATAGCGGTGCAGAGCATGCTTGGGATTCATTCTCTCTCTCTCTCTCTTTCTCTCTCTCTGCCACTCTCCTGCTCATGCTCTCTCATTCACTCTCTCTCAGAGTAAATAAACTTTATTTTTTCCCTTTCATTTTTTTATTTTTATTTTTTTACAAATAGTTTATTGTCAAATTGGCTTCCATATAACACCCAGTGCTCATCCCCACAAGTGCCCTCCTCCATGCCCATCCCCCTCCCACATCCTAAAATGAGCAAATCAGAGAACTCTAGATGCTGGCGAGGATGTGGAGAAACGGGCACATGTGGTGGTGGGAATGTAAACTGGTACAGCCCGTCTGGAGAACAGTGTTGAGGTTCCTCAGGAAACTAACAATAGAAACTAATAGAAACAATAGAAACTAACAATAGAAACTAACAATAGAACTCCCCTATGACCCAGCAATAGCACTGCTAGGAATTTACCCAAGGGATCCAGGAGTGCTGATGCATAAGGGCACATGTACCCCAATGTTCATAGCAGCACTCTCCACAATAGCTAAAACATGGAAAGAGCTTAAGTGTCCATCAACGGACGCATGGATCTCTCAGAGTAAATAAACTTTAAAAAAAAAAAGAAGAAGAAGATGGAATCTTGGAAGAGATGTTTGAGCTGACGATTAAAAGTTGAATAGGAATATGCCAGGCAAGTCAGAGAGGGACAAAGGGGAGAGAAAAGAAATATCAGGAGAGGGTATGAGGTTATAACCAATTCAAAATTTTGGGATATAAATTCAGAATAGGGAGGAGTAACAGACAAAACTAACTGAGAAAGTTAAGCAGAAGCAAGATATTGCTAGAGAGGGGGCACCAGTGACTGTGGTAAGGAGTAATGGGAAGGAGAGGGAGAGATTTATGAAATGTGGGGTAAGTAAAGTCAAGAGATCGAGGTAGACAAATTGAAAAGAGAAGCTAAGGAGGGCCTAGATTTACTTCCAGTTTTCTAATTTGCTGACAGGTAGGTGATAGGTACACCATTCGACATAAAGATTGGATAAGGAAGCAATCTCAAATTGCTGAGGAATTTTAGACAAGGACTATTAATGATTATTAATGAGTAAAACAGAAAGAGACGTTAAGGGTACTTTGGAGAAATTGGACAGTTGCCTTCCATCAGTCGCTAGCACAAAGACTTGCACACAGTAAAGATTCGATAAATAAATATTGTTGAGTAAATGAATGAATAAAGCACTAGGAAAGCTTTAGAATCAGAATAGGACACCACAGATAAATCAAATGTGACACATAGCTCTAAGAACAATTTAGCTCTTTTGAGTCCTTTTTGATCAGCTTAGCTGTCCTCTCAGCTAACCTTTCTCCCAAGGAAGGGATTGGTTTCTTCAAGATTGGCCTCAAGTTTGACACCTTAAGGCCCGCACAATTCTCCATTGAGTCCTCTGGTTCAGGATCCTGTGAGTGCTAGAGCGCCCTCTAGAGGAGTTTGTTTTCCTGCTGGTTAAGATTCTATTTCTGCTGTGGAACTGTGGCTCACTGAGGTTCTTGGGTTTTGTTTGTTTGTTTTTGTCACAGCCTACTAATAGCATTGGATTCTCTTGGAACTGGAATCAGAGTTATAGGAGAGCTATGTGGGGGCTCGGAGATACTTCTTGTGTGAACTGAAAGCCAGACTCACACATCTTATTGGAAATGAAGGGAGAATGGTATTGTCTCATCTAAAAGGGAGGAGTTAACAGTAGCCAGTCTACCTTCTCTGGTGAAGCCTTCCTAGGCACAGATAAAGGGACTCATCATGACTAAACCTGGACAATGACTCTTTTGCATCCAGGGAACAATGACATCTGAGTCCAAGGAGGTGGCATCCCTGA